AATCCATGTGTTCTTACATTCACTTTAAATTGTTGTTTGATAGGGTTTTTTCTGCTAAAAATGTGTTGAAATTTCAAGCATGAGATGATTGTTGTGTCTTGTTAGAAGCTTCACCAATTGAATGCTTGTAGGGCTATATTTTCATTCTGGACAATTTCTAGGTTGAGTCGATATTGATGGAAACAAATCTCAGTTGTAGTAGGCAACCCAATCCAGACTTCCTCAGATTTCTATCCATAGTTCATGTATGAAAGAGGTATGCTTGTTTTAATTCAAACCCAAAAAATAAAATCTTCTAATTTTTTGAGTTTCAAAATACATGCCAATCGATTGAAGGATTGGTCAAACGATTCATAAACCTTATGCCTTAACATTTATAGCTATCAAGTTATTCTTCAATCGATCAAAGGTTGTGGTCAATACCTACAAGACCCTTCTGCACTAGAATTTCAATTCAAGAATGCTCTTCAATCGACTAAAGGATAGGTCGATATAGCCACCCTTCACTTGAGGCTTTTCAACCCTTGTTCTACGAATCTCCTTCACTCTTAAGCTTCTAATAATGTCCTTCATGTCAGTGGCGGAGCCATACTGGGAACAGTGGGGACAGTTGCCCTATTGCAATTTTTTGGTATCCTTAAAATTGTTTAAAACATACATCCATTGAAATGTTTGTAAGAAATTTAGGAACAGTTCTGTATTTTTTTTAAAAAAACATCTATTCTTTCATCAACTAAAAAAATAAAATTATAAAATTTTAAGTTTTTTCGATTAATTGGACTTGGACAATTTGTTTGTAGTACTTTAAATTGTTATATCTAGGTTTTGTTTTGATAGCCTTGGAACTTATTGAATCTTTCTTAGAAGTTGTTTGGCTCAATGATGAATTATTGAATTAAACACATTTTTGGATGTGTTAGGTGTTGTGCTGGATAATTTTACAATGTTTTTTTTTTTGGTAAATAAACTAATTTTTTTTAAAATAATATTGTAATTTAACTTAAAACATACTCAAGTGGATACTCCTCTATATAGTCTAATTAACGAAAAATAGTCAGACACACCCTAGTCTATTACAAATATTAAAAATTCTCTCAAACCCCAATGAGACAGTAAATGTGATGCATGATTGGTGTTCTTCTAATGAATAATGTATTTATAAAAAAAGTATTAAAAATTAATATTGTTGTTAAAATAATGTCATAATTTTAATTTTATTTGGTTAATAAATTTTAGGATGACCCACCGTAAAAATATCTTCCCTCCACCCATGCACCACGTGGTATGGATCTTGAAATGGCACTACTTGCTTGTCTATTTACCTAATCAAATTTATGCAAAACACATCTAGTGATGTATTTTTGCCACTAAGCATTATGGTCATTTCTATATATAAGATATGTGGACAATATGTTGCTTGTTATCTTGATGAAAGTTAGGAAAATATTATGCATGGCTAGCCACCTAATTTTTTTCAGGTCACTCCCCACGTATTCCCCACCCCTCCAAGGGGCCAATTTTCCTTTATCTTTCCATTGATATGCCTATTAATACTTGTGTATTTTGATATGGTTCTTTGTGAAAAACATGGCAATCATCTCGAGTTACAGAACTGTGACTGTGCTTTCCTTTTTGTTTCTTTTCTTTTATTTCCCTCTTATCGTTCTTTCCTTTCTACCACTTACTACTTTTGAAGTCCCATCAAGAGGTTCTGAGGCCTATGCTTCGAAAAACGGACCCGAACAAAGGAGGACACTTGGCGCAACGAGGGCCAAGTCTTTAAAACTATAAATAGGGGTAAAATATCTAAAATATCAGCTTTTTCCTCCCCTATGGCCGGCTGTATCAGAGATTAAGAGAATTAAAGTAGGAAAACCCTCCTTCGATTTCCCAAAGATCCGTCAGTCGAAATCGCTCGAGCCAAGAATTAAAGTTACTCTACGCGACGAGGGTTACACATGGGTACCAAGAACGAAGATTTTCACCGAAGATCAAAAGGCGAGATTTTAGAAAAATCAAAGTCTTGAGCTTTTGGGGGTGTTCTTGGAGGTTCTAGTATTCATTTACGCTTCAAGAGGTAGGGTTTTCCTACTTTGGTTCATCTAACCTATGGTGTTCATAGGAGAGGGGTTTAATGTGGGTTTGTATAGCCTTTGCATGAAGTTGGTGTTTTGCTGGATATGAGAAATAGATGGAATAAACATTCTATCTTGAAGTGGTTTTGTTTCTTGTAATATGTGGTTACTTGAAATAGTTTGTAGAAATCACTTAGTATGATTTCTTGAGCTATGTGGTTTGTAGAAATCACTTAGAATGATTTCTTGAGCTATGTGGTTACTTGGAATGGTTATGTGAATATATGACTTGAGTGCCTTTAAGGTGTTTGATAAAATGCCTTTGTGAAATAAAGTGTGTTAATTGCATGAGATTATGCTATAACATGCTTGGATAATGTGGTAATGTGAAATCATATGCTTATGATATGATTTATGATTGAAATGTACTTGTTGATATATGCATGTTTTGATATTTATTGACATTGTAACAAATATGATATTTATATACTTAGGATATAATTTACCATGGATGTGTTACAAATTATTCATATGTCATTCATACCATATTGAACATTATGTTGTTGTGCAATGGTGCATCACATTGCACATGCACAGAAACATGACATCACATTTATGGACATGAGTCATGAATGTGGGTGTGTGTATGCATGGTTAATCAAACACCATTCTTGGTAATTGATGGGTGGACTCGGGAAAGTTGGGTTAAAAATCCGAATGAGTCACATAGTTGCATGAAAGAAAAACTTTTGTCGGGTATAGCAAGAAGGGGTAGATTCCCCCCTCGGTTGCAAGACTCGGCGACTTGGTTATATACTCCCCTGTGTTGAAATTCAGGAAAAGTGTAGTATGGTGTATGAAACCGGTGGTATAAAATCCAAAATTCGTTGCCCAACAAGACACAAGATTTTGATTTACAAAGTACTCATACAATGAGTAACACCCATCAATGATTTGGTTTTATAATAAAACAACTTTTATTTCAAACGATCATTTGGTGAATTTTTTTCGTCAATTGACGGATTCAGTATACCTTGGCATTGCATTGTGTCGTGGGAGTCGGTGATGACTTGTGTTTAAGTGCATGAGTGAGTATCATCTCATTTCATGGCATGACATGATTACATTCCACATTTAATGCATATTCTTGTATGAAATGATTGTTAAATGTTGTTTGTTGCTTATACACACCACATATGCACCTAAGGTGGAGAGTAGCCTCTGTAGGGATTATTCTATTGGGCATTGGCTCACCCTATACGGAAAAATATTTCAGGTGGGAGAGATACACCGGTGGATGACTCCACTTTGGACCCTCATGTTTGAAGCAAGTCGAATGTGATTTTATTTTGTGTTAATGTAAAAAATTTGTGGAAATAATGTTTTGGGCATGTAATATTTTGCAAATAATTGTAATAGAACTTTTATAGACTATTATTAAACTAACCTTGCATGTGTCGATATAAATATGGATAATTGGACTTGGTGTGGCCAATGTTTACTTATAATTGGACCCGGTGTGGTCATTGTTGAATATTGAACCTCGGATGGGTCTTGTTATTATATGATTGCACAGCTTGAGTTTTGGGTAGAGGTTCCCGTACAAAGGAGACTCTGCCCGAATTTCGTCAAAAATATGGTTCCCGATAAATTGAGCATAATGGCGTGATATCGAATTACTCGGTATTCACGAATATTCCGCAGGTTGATGGGTAATCAACGGACCCCCGGATTTTGGGGTGTCACAATTATCCAATCTACTTTTTAAATCTACTTTTTAAGTTCATGTAACATAACTCAATAAAAATTGTCTTACTTATTCTAGGGCACAAAGTGCTTTGTTTTTGGGTGGTTTGTCTTGTGATGTCATGTCATTTTGTTTTTGAGTAAACAAACAAGTTGTAGTCATAAAATTTGTATGAATGTATATTCTAAGGGAAGAACCCTTACAAGGGCAAACAAAAACTAAGCCAAGAGGCAATCCCCTATGCAAAAAATGGCCTATAATCTGGTAGGGTACTATGTGTGCTCCTGCATATGTTCCCCACATAAAATTATTTCGGTAGCATTTATCTCAATAAAACTATAAACTATTCTCTATAAACTATTGGTTTAGAAAATTAAAAATAGTGGATGATTCATATTCAGTAGGGCCAAAGTCCAATACTAATGGGAAGAACAACGAGGTTGAAATAGCAATATAGCATAGCAGAGTAGGGCCCACAGAGTCTTTCTGAAAGAGGCTATTGAGGAACAATCGTTACATTTCTTTATGCTTCAAGAGCAAGCCTAAAGAAATTGTTCATTTTAGTTAATAAAACAATCAATGATAAAATGGGATATCAAGCACTTTCAATTCAAGCCCTACAAAATATGTCTTTATTGATAATTGAGATAGAATAAAAAATAAATAAAAATAAACAGTGTGCAATAAGAATTTCCGATATCTATTATTGTTTGCTAGTATCAAATAATTGGTTGGCGGACAAAGGATGACATCGGTACAGTATGGGTATATTAGAAAATGTCAATATATTTCTTGTAAAACCCAGTAAATTTAAATTTTTGTAAACAAGGGCAAAACGGTAATTTTATCGCTACAGTACGGGTTAAAAACCTGAATTTTTCTAGACCTTTGATGATGAAACAGATCTCACCATTGGATTCATCTCGCGACATCTAGTTACCACATCAAATTTCATCGAATTTCGAGATAGTCGGATTTTTTTCGTTTTATGAGGCGGATTCAGAATTGTCTTTCATTCCAAGGCCTAACTTGTATGCATGCGCTTCATATTCGCCTGGAGTTCGATCCTAGAAATATAGCCATCCCTGCCCCCTCACGTCAATCCCACGAGCCTCTTATCCATTCTCATTCAATCACAGCGGGGGAGCAAATCAAAATAGAAAAACCCAAATTGGGTTTAGGGATAATCAGGCTCGAACTGATGACTTCCACCACCACATCAAGGTGACACTCTACCGCTGAGTTGTACCCCTTCCCTGCCCCCATCGAGAAATAGAACTGACTAATCCTAAGTCAAAGGGTCGAGAAACTCAACGCCACTATTCTTGAACAACTTGGAGCCGGGTCTTCTTTTCACACTATTACGGATATGAAAATAATGGAAAAAATCAGATTCAATTGTCAACTGTCCCTATCGGAAATAGCATTGACTACGGATTCGAGCCATAGCACATGGTCAAGTCTCGGGTGACCCAAAAATGAGATTTTCAATAAAATTTTGAAAGTTGGAAAATAATTTAGGGCAAATTAAAATAAAATTAATTTGAACTTGAACCGGGGCAAAATTTAATCGTTTCGGTATGAAAATGGACCCAAAAAAAAGAGGGTCGTGTGGTGCATTGTGAGCCAAGCATTGAGAAATATAAGTAGGGGAAAAATCAGATTTTTTCCCCCATTCTTATGCCCAGCCATTAGCCGATAGAGAAGAGAGGGAAAAGGGAGAGCTCTTCCACCTTCTCTCTACGATCTACAACTCCACGGGCTTCGGATTCACTTGAGCCAAGAGAAAAAGTCATTTTCCTCGCCAAGGGCTATGCCTACGCACAAAAAACGAGGATTTTCACCAAAGGTTGAAAAACAGAATTTTGGGAGGAGAATATTCTAGCTAGGAGCGGATTATTAGGGACTTCCTATAGTCGTTCTTCACGCTTCAAGATGTAGGGTTCCTTCCTACTCGGATTTATTTTATAACTTAGGTATTATATGTAATGGGTAGGTTGAGAAAGATATGTATCACTTGCCTATGAATATAGAATTGGTGAAATGGGTATTGAAATTGGGTAAGACGAATTTTACCTTGAAAGGCTTGTGAATTGATAAAATGTGATCCATTGAATTGATTGTTATGTGGGCATATTATGTGTACGTTTTATGCCATGGGAGTTAAGTGTGTTGTTAGCATATTTTATGTTATGACATGCTTGTAAATTGTTGTTGAGAATGATATATATTGATATATAGCATTGAGAGAAAGTTTGGTGATTATATGCTTTGGATATAAATTGCCATGAGACTTGTTTGAATGTAGTTAATTTTGTTCATGTGGTGTTCATTACATGTGGGCATGATGTTGAATTAGCAATGATACATTACATTGCATATGCACGTAGACATCGCATTTTATGGGTGTGAGTGCATGGTTAGCATCAAACACCATATAGGTGGATGATGGGTGGGCTCGAGGAAGCTGGATTGAATATATGGTTGAGTCGCACGGTTGCATGAAAAAGAATCGGGTCGGGGTAGCAAGAAGGGTTAGACTATCCCTCGGGTGAGAGACCTGGTGTTTGGATACGTACTTTCGTTGGTATAAGAGCCCATAAAGTATGTCGGTGTACGCGAAACCGTTGGTGAAAGTCCATGAATTCCGTGTCGGTTGGGTGACCGTTGGTGTAAGTCCATAAATACCCACCCCAAGAAAGACCTAGAGATTTTTAGTTAGCCATTGGGTGTATAACACAAATGGCGGGGGGCTTGGAAAGCCTGATTTTGATACTCATTGCATAGCATGGGGTGAAGGTAAATAGCCGGAGCTAGAAAAACTTGGTTTTATGCACATTAGCATTACATGTGTTGTGCAGCCGGGAAGGGCTCGGGTAAATTGCATGAATGAGCATCATCTCAACTCATGACATGGTATGTTAGATTTCAACCTTGACTTGCTTCTGTGTTGGTTGGAATGATTGTTGTTGTTAAATGTTGCATGTGAACATTGCATATGCACTTAGGTTGAGAAGTAGACCTTGTAGGAAATACTCTATTGGGCGTTGGCTCACCCTATATGGGAAACATTTCAGGTGCGGGGTTTGTACTGGGAGAGGACTCGTATTCGGGGTCTCGAGGGTGAAGAAAAACCGATTTGTGGCTTTTGGAGACAAGTTTTTGTAAAACAATTGTAAAATTCCATTTTGAGCATGTAATTATGTAAATGGGCTTGTAATCATGTGGAATTAATTGTAATAGAACTTGTATGAATCATGTATAATGTAGAAAATAATTATTATGCATATTTGGGATGGATTTGGAAAGGTTTTGAGTGGATTGGAAATGAAAAATTGAAGAGGCATAAAATTTTGGGCAAAACCTTTCGGAAGGTTAATGTAGACTTTTGGTCCAACAAGCAAAACCTTCTGGAAGGTTAGTGTAAATTGAATTCTAATAGACAAAACCTTCCAGAAGGTCTATAAAACCTTCCGGAAGAACTTTTCCAGTGAGTAAAACCTTCCGAAAGGTCTATGAAAAACCTTCCGAAAGGTTTTCCAAAAATCTGAAATTTTAAGATTACGTTGTCATGCTTTTGGGTTATGTGTTCTTTGGTTCCAATGACTCAAATGGACCTTAAAATGAGATACATTGGAGTATGTTGAACCTCAATGGGATTAAATGAATTAAAGAAAATATGGATCCATGCATGGGTTGTAATCCCGGTTACAGGGATATGATAGATGTAATGTTGGGTTATGCGACAATCACGGGTATTTCCGCGGGTTGACGGGAGGTCAATGGGACCCTCGGTTTTAGAGGTGTCACATTTTCGATGTATGAGTTTTACTATGATTGATATCACGCCCTGAATTCCACAAAAGTGTGATTTAAATAAAACATCATTTTTATCCAAAATGCTTGTCAATTTAAATGAGGTTGATTACAAAAATTCATTTAATTTTAATAAACACATTTTTTTTTTTTTGGAAAATCTAGCATTGTTTTGTTTGAAAGTCTGGCATTCCAAACATAGGCAAGAGCGACCTGTTATAGTATTATATATAACAAATTAAATCCAACTAACTATCCCCATCATACTGATCATAAACAACTAACTAGGATCCACATCATTCATTCATAACAACATAATCCAATATAATTTTGGAGTGGCAAATGGAGACCCACAAAATCCTCTCAAACCTGGCATTCCTACAAAAGTTTTATCTACCAAAACTTAACCCTAAAGCCATAACTTTATATTACTGTACCCAAGAGAATAAATTTACATCACAAGCTCCTCAAAATACCCTTCAAATAAAACTTTGTGTGTAATCATATTTCTACACAACATTCTAAAAGTAAATACAAAAAGGTTTTCAAAAGGAGTCCCTCCGAGCCCAAAGCTCCCACAAGTCTACATCCACTAAGTCTCGGGATGCACGTTAGTCTCTAAAAAAGTTAGTAAGGGATGAGTAGGGGTGTCCATGGGCCGAGTTTCCCACAGGTCCCGTTACCCGACCCAAAAAAACATAGGCTCGAAATCCGGTTGGGCCGATAGTTGGCCCACCTGAGCGCAAGTCCAATATCCTTAAAAAGAGGGTTTGGGCTTGCCCCCAAACCCATTATCCGGCTCGAGGTCCGGCCCAATAGCCCTCCCGAAAAAATTCATTAAAACCTGCCCCAAGAGCCCGCCCACTCTTCCTTTGAGAAAAAATTATACTTTTACACCATTAAATTTAAAATTTTGAAATAATTCTCCCAATGTCAGAATTTGAGGTTTTAAAAATGTAGATACTATAAATAATTTATTATTTTCTTTTCCATATATTAAGCATGCACGTTTTAAATGATAGAGTAATACAAATGATAGATAAGTGAATGAGTGTCAACCTAGTTGAGACGTATTCATTCTATTACATGAAATTCATCCTCTAATAAAAAATAAAATTATTTATTATTTTATGTTTATCCATTTTGACTCTACTTTTGATTCAAAAATATAATTTACACAAATATTCATTACAAAAATATTCATTATTTTTAAATGAAGTTGTATATAAAAAGCCCGCGAGGAAGCCCGCCCAGCAAGCTCACCCACAGACCCTGCCCAATCGGTTTATAGGTTGGGCTACGGGTAGCCTTCCCCTACCCGAAGCCCGCCCTGCCCCGCCCCGCCCATATAAATCACTTGGGTAAGAGTTTGGGCCTACACTACCCAAGCCTGGCCAAAAAAAAATTTCGCAGGGCTAGACACCCCTAGGGATGAGCAACCACAGCCTAGTAAGATAATCATTTTCCCAATCATATAAAAGGTTTTAAAATGCCACCAATTTACAATCATAATAATAGGTAGTGAAATACGTCAGCCTTAAGTCTAGGTACACGATAATTAATAAATTTTTTTGAAAGTACATTACGTACTATCTCTTGAAATATGTAAAGTGTAACAAGGAATTTGTCACAACAAAATCAAATCTCAAGGTTACACTATAAAACATTTCTTCTTAAATTATAATGCAACAATATTGATTTTATAAAGCACATAGTGAGAAATCTTTATACAAGCATATGGATAATAAATTTGGTATAGTCATTATCTCTTATTTTGAACAAAATTTCATAAACTTATTCTTTTCTGGTTATTTTTCAAAAATATTAACTTTATGTAATTTCGCCTCAATCTCACTTCACCTCACCCCACTCTAGAAGTTTGTTGAAATATTGACCTAATGGTTTCTTAACAACCAAAATCCATGTATACTACCCATTCGAACAAATATCATGAATAAACAATCTCCAACGAACCTTTTGAGTCTTGCACCTTAGGGTCTCATCACCTTTTTTCCTTTCAAGGTTGGATGTGCAGGGCTGAACTTGTGATGCTGCATAGACCATCACCAAAAATCACTACCATCATCAATCTCCCCTAGGACTTGTAGTCACCTTTGGCAACACCCCTCAAGAGCCCCAACAGTCTACTAACCCTCTGTTTGTCGGTACCAAACATACAAGTTTCAAACCATAGTTTTGTGATCACCTTCTATTCCCAAAACCAACAACAACTTTGGGACGTTTTAAAAAAATACTTAGTTTTTCAATATCTTACATTTTTATTTTAAACATAACACATTTTCAAAATAACTCATACAAATGCCAAAATAACTCATAACACATTTTTTTCTTTTTTATTAATTTCTGGGTAACGTGGACGTTACTTTTTTTTGTTTCTCCAATGAGGAGGATTAAATTCTATTTTCAAATGCTATGC